CTCTCTCTCTCTCTCTCTCTCTCTCTCTCTCTCTCTCTCTCTCTCTCCTCCCCCCCCCCGGCAGACACACACACACAAGGAAGCAGCTGGCTTAGCATAGCAGTACCCCAGTGTATTGTGGGGTCAGCAGGCTGTTTAAGTGTGAACTGTGAACCCAGTGTGCCTCTATCACAGCTGAGCTGCTGACTGGCTCATACCCCATGCCATTTTTCAGAGGAACTTCTTTTTTTTTTTTGTGTGCGTGTGACTCCCACACATTATAGGATAATGTTTTTCTACGATGTTTTTTCCCTTTTTTATTTGTGGCACAGATAGCATCCTTACACAGTGGTACAGAAGAAGAGTAGGGCTGCTGCACAGCGAGCCCGCCTCTGTCCAAAGGTGGCAATCCGCTGCTCAGTGCTTCCTCTTTATTTGACAAACACGAGAGTGCCCAAAATGTGGACCTATGTATTAATATGTTTGGGTTCTTGCTTTTGATTCATATAGTTAATTGACTATAAGATGCTGAGCTGTGCTGTCCAAACATCTATGAAACAGACAAGCACACTCAAACACACACACACACACACCACTGTGTGTCCTTCGTCCCTGTTAAATCCTCGAGCTGCTTGCATCGAAATGAAGGCTCCCTTGTGTAAGGCTACTAGCGGGAGGATGCAGCTAGTTGAGCAAGAGGAGGAGGGGGGGGTAAAAGAACGAGGGAGGAAGGAATGATGAGGCAGAGCAGTGGAGGTTAAGGTGGAGAAGAAGAAAGTGAGGGTGGAGAGGGAGGGTAAAAGGGTAGCAGAGCAGCAGGTAGAGTGAGAGGAGAGATGGGGAGGATGTGAATGTCTCTTTTGGTGAGTGAGTGAAAGAAATAGAAACAAAAAGAATGGAGAGGCCCAACCACCCAACCGACCGAAAAAACAAAAGTAGAAGGAGAGAGGGAGAGGAAGGGAACATAGGAAGAATAGAAGAATAATCCCTTTCTCTCCATCTGACAGCTTCTTCCTTTACGGCTGTCACGGGGATGATGGTTGGACTGGCCGCTGCCTTGGCAACACACTCTCCTGGTGGTAACTCAATGCCAGGGCAGTGGGCCTAGGAACCAGGAAGCACGCCTCAACAACATAAACAAAGTCTTAACTCCACCGCGGCTAGGCTAAATGGCTGTTCTCTAACAGATTTGTTTAGCTTGTTGCGGTTACAAGAAAACACACACACACACACACACTTCGATCCATCCTTGAAACATATCTTTATGTCGGTCTGTTTCTGCAGATGAAAGTCTTCTTCTTATCTCATTTCTCCTTGTTTTCTCCCCCACTCTCTCCTTGGCGAGGAACAGTGTTAATCCTCCAATGTCGTTGGATGTTTTCTATCTAATGTGTGTGTGTGTGTGTGTGTGTGTGTGTGTGTACATTTGCAGGAGTGGAAACGAGGAGAAGCTAATGGCCTTGCTCACCCCCCTCAACGTCAACTGCCACGCCAGCGACGGCCGCAAGGTAAGAGGAAAGAGTACGCAAAAAAAAAAAAAGCACTACATAGAGTTCACACAGAGATATGTGTCTCGCATATTATAGGGTTTTTTGTTTTTATTCATGTGCAGTAATCACAAAAGAAGTGAAAAAAAAGATGAATGTGTTTTCCTGGGCACCACAAACGCTCTGATGTTACGCTTTGTCTTATTAATATTCAAAGCTTTGAGTTTAATGAAAGTAAAAACAAACTAAAGCAAAGTTTTTAGAGTCGGTCTCTTGTGTACGTCGCCTCTGTGTTACGCGTATATAATCTATTTCTAATTAGCTATATGTTGACAAGAACCACAAATGTGAGTTTAACAGCCAGCTAGTGGTGCACTTGGGAGTTATTAGATTGCAGAGTGTAGAGTGAGACTTAGTGCCGTATTACACCTTGTCCGCTTGATTAAAAAGTTTTGTGACCGTGGCCTCCGCTCATGCGTCCCCCGGGGGAGTCCCGAGTCTCAGGCTGAGCTCCGCCTGGTCACAGCAGCACGTCTGGCTCATTGTGACTAATTAGGCCCCGGGATGAGTAAGTGCATATCCCACAGTCCCCCATACCGCTCTCTCCAAACCTGACATAAGCGAAGACTGCTGCCGACTAGACCTGCAATGATTAGTCGACTAATAAGAATAAACACAAACGAATTTTCACTTTTCATGCAAAAAATGGCAGAAAATAATGTTTTCAGTCCCTCAAATATGGAAATGTCCTGATTTTGTCTGTTTCATATCATGTTAAAGGGAATATCTTTGGTGTTTGGACCGACAAAACCAGACATTTAAAGACATCACCTGGGACGGGGTGGACATTGCTGTTATCTATTGGTCGGTAAAGCAGAGCCCCTATATTTTATAGGTTGCTATGACAACTGCTGGTAACAGCAGGGAGCCAAAGGGAGCTTTTTACTCCGTACCTTCGGTAACCGTCATATAAATGCAGTCACAGCCTTGAAGATGCTCTTTCCTATAATTATGGGTACTTGAGTGTCGTTGATGGTGCTCAGCTGCTGCTTGTAGCCATCGTATCTCCGGCACACCCATAATTGTGAGGGAACATCCTCCAGGCTATTATCTGTGCAGGTGGCCTGCTGGGGATGTGAAACCCCAACGTGTTGTTTGAAACTCTCTGGAGATGCAGGGGGTTTCACACCTTGAAGCGTAATGGTTCATTAGTGGATGAATGCAGCCTAAAAGCTGTACTCCTGAACAATCCGGACGTGTAATACTCTTTAATTGCTCCGACTGGAAGCGGTCATGCACAGGAGATGGAATATATTTCCATGGCAGTGCGGATTTATTCAATTTTTTTGAATTAATTTCACTTACGGGGTTGATGGGGGGGGGGGGGGGGGGATTTATATTCCCACTGCTAACAGAAATTATTCAGTGAGTTTAGCGCTATAGCTTTATGTATTAGGTGAAAGTGAGTGGCAACCAGAACTTTCCCACTTGTCATTCTCGTCCTTTCACTAAATCCACGAATGGAAATCAGTCTGCTGGTAAATATGAGTGAGCAGCCATCAACAGCTTTTATTTAGATTCAGCTCAGACTTAGTTTGACCTTTTTTTTCTTCTATTTTTTTTTTAAGGTAGGGTTCAAATAAAAAGCCTGTTTTGGTCTCTTGATTAGTTTTAAGTATGATGATATTGGGCATCTTTCATTGTGTGACGAGTGTAAACGGCAGTCGGAAATGATTTAGCGCTGACAAAGAAGCAATCTAGACAATGTCTTCTGACAAAGACATAAGTACCACACCATTATATTCAAACATAATAGCTAGCTATTATGAAACTTAATAGGAAGTGATTTAGAGTGGGACAGAATAGCTTGACTCAATAACAATTTTGCAGATTAAATGCAGGCAAACATGCTAAATATGACACTGTGGGCCGGCACATCAAGCAACACTCAGACACACGGAGACAAATTGTTAAGACGACACTCATGATAATCATGGACTAATAACAGAGCGTGGCAGAATCCTAATGATTGGTAATAATGACGCTTCTCTTTAAATTGGGAAAGAGCCCCCCCCGCCCCTTTCTTCGTCTCTCCTTCATTTTAATTAGAAGTGGCACAGGCTCTCCGTCTCCCCTCTTCAACCATGCAGTCGCATACAAACACACAAATCTGAAGCATAAATGTTGATTGCAAATGCCTCTTGGCTGAATTCAAAAAAGCTCAGCTTGTACACACATACACACCCACACACACACACACACACACACACACAGGGCACACATGAGAAGAGAGAGAAGAGGAGAGCCAAGAAGATGGAGAGAGATGCTGTGTGACCAAAAGTACGTGGACACCACTGTACTGCACTGTAGTTTTGTTCTGGAAGGGTTTGGGTTTGGCCCCTGAGTTCCAGTTAAGGGAGCCCATTAATGTTGAAGCAGAAAATACTATTTCAGACAATAGTGTGGCAACAGTTTGGGGAAGGTGCTGTTCCTGTTTCAGCGTGATAATAAGGCCTTCGTGCACAGAGCAAGGTCCAATTTAAGAGATGGATTTTCCTAGTTCGGTGCAAGAGAACTTGAGTTTTGAGTGGAGGCTGTTATGGTAGAATATCAGTCCGCATGTCTGTGGAACCAGGTGTTGGACACATATGGGTGCATCTAGCCGTTGTCTGGAAAACAGTTTTTCCCTCCACACTAGTGAGAGCTTTTTGTTCTTATTGCACTGCACTATATATTATTACAGAATACACTACAGGCAACAGCAGTATAACTGTGTGTGTGTGTGTGTGTGTGTGTGTGTGTGTGTGTGTGTGTGTGTGTGTGTGAGCACTTGATGATTGAGGGCCCATCAGAGTGGGATATTATTAACACAGCTGAGTGGAGAGCGTTATCACGCTGCCTCTATTGAAACCTACCACTTACTCCCACGCACACACACACACACACACACTTACACACACTTGCTCCTGCAGACATTGCTGCCTCAGGAAAAAAAGTCTGTGCTTTCTGACTACCCATTGCACAAATACGTACATACACACACACACACCCAGTCTCTTTTGTTTTTTCTCTTCCTGCCTCACTGACATTATGCTTCCAGCACCTCCAACCTCCGACTGACTGTCAGTTTTTCAGGGAATATATTTCATGTTGTGGACTCTGTTGATCTCCTCGTGTTGTGAATGTGTGTGTTTGCCTTTGTGTTTGTGTGCTTTTCGTGAATATTGTGAATTTTGGATCGGTATCTTATCAGTGAGAATCATCACACCCACCAGCGTCCTAGCTGGCACGGATTTCAAAGACACAGGCATGAAGAGCATGACCAAGATTCAGAGAGAGGGAGAGGAAAGAGAAGAGAAAAGACTTTCATTGAAGCCTTGTTTAAATGTTGATTATAGGAGCTTATCCTGCTGAGACTGTTTACCATCCCTCATATGTCTCCCAAAAAGTCAACTTTTCAGGAATAGAGCCCAGTGGATATTTGACTTTCAGAAATCTGTTTACGTGACGGCAATGTTACGAGGAAAAGCTGAGCTTTTTACACTGCAATCGAGTGTAAATGTCTTTTTATTTCGTTGCTGACATCTCCGCATCGGTAAAACAATGCGCCAGCACGCCTGGAAACTCTCCCGCGGATCAGAGGCGAGGCCGCCGCGGCTCTCGTCTCGCTGAAGTTCGCTAATGTTTACACATCCGGACGATCACAACACAGGCTCGTAGGAATGGTGTGTGTGTCTAAACCTGACGCCCTGTCTGAAACAAATAAATAGAAATATCCAGAAGCATTTCAGATCAGCAGTTTTAATAAACTTGTGTCAGTGACACATTTAACCTCTCGCTTTCTCGCAGGCCCGTGGCATGTTGTTGTTCGAGGGAGATGTATGCAGCTGCAGCTCTTTGGTGCAAAGGTAGTTTATCAGGTATAATCACAAGAAAGTTTAGTTGCGATTCATAATTGGATTATCTTTTCAGACGGAGTTCTTCTCACTGAAGATAAATTGTCCTGCAGGGTTGGTTAATTTGTTAGTTCTTCCTGGGCCAGGAGGTTTGACTTTACATTAATACGTATGTTTTGTTCATGAAAATTCCCCTTTTGCCTGATTTAAAACGATAAAAAATATGATTAGGTCATGTCCCTTTCTGTTGCTTTCGAGTGTTGTGTTGTTGTTTTTCTGAAGTTACTTTCTGAGCTGCTCAGCTTTAAACTTTTCCGCGGAGCCCACAGCTCCTTGGAAAAGTCAGTGTTTATAGCTGAGAGGCTGAGCAGGTAGACCGCTGATGGGTGTGTGTGTGTGTGTGTGTGTGTGTGTGTGTGTGTGTGTGTGTGTG